TGGGGCAGGGGGTGCTGCAGGAGGATCCTGGAGAGAGCTCGGCCCTGGAGTGGGGGACGACTTGGAGAAGCAGGATTTCGGGGGAGCATCATGAGGAGAGGAGTTGGAGGGAGGATCCTGCAGAAGGTGAACTCTGGGGAGGACCCTAGACAGGCAGACAGCGCTTGGGGACTTGGACCTGGGATTCTAGAGAGGGGAGGACTCTAGGGGAGGAGGGTTGGGGAAGAGGATCATAGGGGAGGACCGTGGGAAGGAGGATCTGGAGAGGGGATAAGGGAGTTTCCTATTGGAAGTCCTCGGGACAGGGCGACCCTTAGGGAAGGGGAGGACCCTCGTGCTGGCAGAAGATTCTCGTTGGAGGCAGTTTACTTGGGGGAAGGGGTCTTTGGGGAAGGCAGGGTCGACGGCAGTAGGAAACGAGGGCCCCGGAGGACTCTCTGGAGGTGGAAAACCCTGGGGGGTGGCGGAACCTCGTAGGGGGAATAGGGGAGTCGGAGCTGCCTCCAGTTTTTAGAAAGGGTCCTGCTTAAGGTTCGTCCCAAGGGGGGATTCTGCGGGGGAAGCTGGCCGAGTTGGCACGTAGGTCTCCCAGTACAATTCCTTTGGAGAAATATTTACATAAATTAGGCTAACGTAGAGGAATTATTTGCTTTACATGTAAAACACCAGATCTGAGCGCTTCCCTTTAATGAAACCTCACACTCTCCCAGCCTCCCATCCCTGGAAAATCAGTCACTCATTCATTCCTTCAACGAGTCAGGCCCCTGGGGGAGACCCAGCTATGCTAGCTGGCCGGCAGACCCCCAGACATCGGCAGGGGCTAGTGCACGGGCTCATGCGGATGGAAAGACCAGGGAAGTAAGATTCAGGAAGCGTTGCCTCCCTCCCACCACAGCCCTGCGCCTCCTCTCCTCCAGCTGAATTTCCTTCCAGCTCTGGCCCTGGCTGCTTCCTTTTTCTTTATTGTCTCCAGTGTTTGGGGGAAGATCCCTGTATATTTATTTTCTAGGATTCTTTTGGTGGCAAATGACAGAAAGCTCGCTCAAACTGGCCCTAACAAATTTACCTGAAGGTAGGAGCATCTCCACTGACCCTGACCCCTTTCTGTCTAGGCCAGCTTCCTGCTGTGCTCTCTGCACCCACCGACCTCACACGCAGCCCTAGGACTGACGTCCACTGGCCTAAACTGGGTCTGGGGCCAACACGGAGCAGGTGGGGGTAGAGCAGCCCTGCTCGCCTGGAGGAAAGTTGAATGGCTGGAACCAAGATGACAGATGGAGGCTGGCAGGCAAACAGGGGAGGTCTCCTCACTCCAAGAGGGGAGTCAGCCTGGGGACAGTTCTTCTCCAGGCCCTGCTGCTCCTATCAGCTGCAACACAGCAGAGGTAGGCCCCTCCGGAAAAGCTCCCATGGTCCTGGGTCCCGCTCCAACTTCTAGAAGCTCCCAGCGTTACTTCCTGGGCAGGCCTGCTCATCATCGCGCTACTCCTGTCCAAAGGGATAGTCACGTTCACATTCGGTGACCGACTCAGAGCCCAGCCTGCTTTCCAGGTGGCCAGTGGCTCAGCAGTCTCAGTGCCTGGGCCTGCTCCCTCCACCTGGCAGCTGGGCAAGCGGCTGAATGCGGGCCGGAGGCCTTCCCTGAGAAGAGGGTTATCAGAACACCTGCCATACATGGAGGTGACCAGCTCAGCGCCTGAGAAGACGCACCGCAGCTGATGACAGGCGCAGAACAGGACGTGGTGAGGTCCTCATACGTAGGAATGGAGAATAAGGGCAAGGAACTCGGTGCCCGCCTGGCATCTGCCCTGCACCAGTGGTCTCCAGGAAGGTCTCCACCGAGGATGTTCCCCGGGCATTCCGTGCTTGCCTTCACCAGCGTCCTGTGAGGCCTTTTGCACTGATGCGGAAGCCTTTCTAAAGGGTGTAGGGGCTGGGGGGTTGAGTACCAAGGGTTCCAGGAAGAGACAGGCCAGGCTTATGGGCTGGGCATCCAGAGATCGCCCTGACGCCAGCTCCAGGTGGAGTTAGGAGGGCACTCTTGTCCCGACGCATTTTATTTTGGAGGTGTTCACAGACCACCCCCTCTTCCTGTTCCCCTCGACTCTGAGAGTGTGGTGGGGTAGCTGTGGAACCTGACTGCTTGCCTGAAGGTTGGGGAGCATGGCTAGAAACTGTGGCCCAGACCTGGGATCTCACCCACGCCTCTACGAGACGTCCCGAAGGAAACCATGGACTGAGCGGAGAGGCTTCGCCCTGCCCGCCTCCTCCCAGGAAGGAAGAGCGGAAGAGGTGTTGCCAGCCGCCGAGACTGCCAGCCACCACCCCCTCCCAGATGCTCTGTCCCCACCCAGACCAGGGTCACCTTCTTCCTGCACTGGGGGTGGGGTGGGGTAGGTTTCGCAAATCCAGACTGTGGGGTGGGGGTGGGAGCAGGTTTCTGTAAATGAGCAGCTCATCCAGAGTCACTGAGGAGGAGGCAGACGGAGCCAGTATCCAGCAGGTCTCCTCTTGTGAGCGTCAGCCCTCGCCTGGGCAGGCCGGGGGATCCTCGGCACCCCAGCTCTGAGCCAGGGGTCTGCAGCCAGGGCACCAGCGATGGGCCCTCATGCACACAGGGTGCCGAGTGGGGCCGGAGGCAGGAGTGACTTCAGACAAGAACCTGATGCCACAGCAGGCGACGCGGACC